CAACACGATAAGACCCGATGACTAGTACCTCAACTACACTACGACTCCCCACCATCAGTTTCAACAGGAATCCCTCTTCAATCGCCGGTGAGAAGCGGACGTCCAAAAGTGCATGAGGGCCCGGATCGGAATTGCAATCCATCTTCGGCTTATCTCATAGGAGTCTGGTTGGCTTCTCAGATCCGTGCTGCCTGGCTTTGCAGCGGATTCGGATTCTGACAACAACCCGCTGCCAAAAACGTCTTTGGATGGACCCAAAATGCTTCCAGCTGAAGGGGAATCCGGCATGAGGATTCGGACCGCGGTATAGAGGCGAGACGATATCCGAAGGCGCCTGTCCGAAGACGAGTCCGATTCCGGATGGCACCGCATCGGTTCAAAGGGAGTGACTTTGAAGCGCTTAATGCTGGAGAGAAGACCAATGCTTTCTTCAAAACACGGTCGAGTAAGTTAATACGCCAACGGCGGCTCCCGGATTCAACTTCGAGGTCGTAATCTATGCCCGCTAGATTCCTCCCCTCTTTATGCCACTCCTCCCAACAACTCCTTTGAGGCACACGACAAAGCGCCAGCTTATGCTGGTTAAAATCATATTTTCATGCTTGTCATAAGCTAGGGTCTAACCGCGCCTCACACATAAGCGCCTTCACAAGGAAGCGCCTTTTCCCTTCAAGCATTTCTTAATGAATATCTTCGCATGACATTAGCCCAAAGTCACTTCAATCCCTTAGCTAGGTGTACTCTACCCTAGGTCGGATTTACTTCCACCACCCACTAGTCGGTTTTACACAATAAACTCCTTTCCATCAACCAGTCATTCTACCACTCACAATACGGCCTATCTTCCACTCGGACTGGCGACCGGAGCACTATACTACTAGTGGTCGGTGGTACCGTACTACTAGTGGTCGAGGTACTATACTTCTCGAGTCGACTCACATCTAACGATCCACAATCCGAGTCAACACGCAATCCAACGGTTGATACTCAACGATACAACTTCTGGTTCTACGATCGATATTACACAACACAAAAAGAACTACGGTCGTTAATTAACACGACACGATCCACGATACTACGGCTCAAATCTATCGAGCCTAACAAAAGATATTGGCCGTCAATCAACTCGGTTTTTCAAAATTCCTAGCACTGACCACAAACGTGACGGTGCAGTGGTGCATGGCTCATGGCTCGAGAGATCAACCATTTTTTGGTCGCAAACGACACACGTGGGCAAGAAAAGAGCTCGAGAACTTGAGACCCTCCAGCTTAAAATCGACTCGACAATTGTTTATGTTTGCGCATTCACAGACTCGTTCCCAGATTAAACCACAAAAGCACCGAGTCCGACATGCATTGCAGCATTGAGAAAAGAGGCCAAGTCAGATGCATGAGGTTCCTCATTCGGATGAGAGCGAAGGCTTTTGACCCTCGCAGTCTTCAAATATTGTTCCGAA